ATATATAATTTATTAAAATATATAATTTGTATTTTTAATAAATGATAATTAATTATACAATATTAAATATAATTAAAAATTAAATTATAAAATATAAAAAAAATAATATAAAAATATTATTATCTACAATTTGTAAAATTAATTGTACATATAATTTTAATAATTGATTTATTTAAAAATAATAACTTACTAAATAATTAACGATGAAACGTAAATAGTTAATGTTGAAAATTCTACGTTCAAAATTAGGCCAATAAGATTTGACATAAATGCAAGGCTTCCTAGATCCCAGTGGTAAATAATTATATTTCCCATCTAAAGTTCCTGTTGTTCTTCGTACAGTTTGACTCGGCAAATCTTTACGTCTTTCCTTTTCCGACATATTCCTCTTAGTTTCTGTTATATTACAATAAGGAAAGTCACGTTTTACGCATTTATGAAATTGTAAATTTCAAAATGATAAATATTAGCAAAAAACCTTGATTATTGTCGTCGTCATTGTCATTGTTATAGTCATCGTTTTCGTCATAGTCATCGTTATTGTTTCCTGGATCACATCGATCACGTGAAAATCTTTGATTTCCGGCATTACCAATACTCAATTCGAATACTATCGATTTTTTACCAAATCTACTTCGATCGATCATACATACGTCATAAAGTATACCAAGTAATACATATTCTTCCACTTTCCATAAACTTTTCTATAAGAATATCAAATTACTTTACTGTAGAATTACATTCATATCATTTCAACGTAAATTCTTATATTTCTTTAACATTCTACGTAAAAGTTTTCAACGAGTTCTACTGAAATATTAAATAAATATTTCATTTTTAATAAATAACTAAAGGGAGTCGTTTGAAAAGTTAATTTTTCGCTTATCGTACGTAAATTTAAAAATTTCAAATTTCAAATTTACGTATATTATATTTTTAAATATTTGAAATTTTATATTTAATAACATAAAATTTTAAATTAAAAAACTTCTTGAATTTTTTGTTATTTATGAAAAATTATTTATCTTTACAAAACCAAAAGATAAAAAATCGAAAGAAAGAAATGAAATTACTTTAAGAACAATCTAATATTTACAATTTGAATAAATTCATTCAAAGACCGATTTAAAAAAATGTATACTAAAAAAAAAAAATTGCAAAACATTTTTATAATAATCAAATTATTCAATTTAATTACTAATCAAATAATTATTACCATCGATTTAATCTTACAAATTGAAATATTAAATTGTGATATATCTCTATTATGAAACGTGGACCAATCGAGAAGAATAAAATCTTATCGATAAAGTAAAAAGGAAAAAAAAGAAAGTTAAGATAAAGTTATAAGAGTGTAAGGAAAGAAACATTAACCGACTTCGATAATGGGAGCAGCCGGTTCTGTTTCAATGCCGATTCTGGGAGAGGTTTCAGGATCATCCATTTCGGTTTTTAGAGACAGGAGTACTCTTCCTCGATAAAAAGGTAAAGACGAAGAGAAGGAGGTGCAGCAGATGTTCCTTTCCTCTTTATTCGAAGAGTAGAAATGAAGAAAAGATGGCCCGTACGTTGGTAGAAATCCTATTGGATAAAAATCCATTATTCTTACTATCTCATTTTTTTTTTTCCTTTTATTTTCATGAAAATGATATCTTACTCGTTTTTTTTTTTTAAACCAAATAACAGATGTTTTTTATAAAAACAAAAAAAGAAGAAAATATTTAAAAGATTCAATAAGAGGAGAGAAAAAAAAATAAGAACGAGTAAAGGTAGAAATTGTTTTTAGAAGAATTTGTGATGAAATAAAGATGATATTTGTGATAAATTTAAACCATATTCTCCGGAATTGGATATTAGTCCGATATGAATAACACGTGTGGCCAATGTACGTGTACGACAACTATTGACTCGATGTTTCAGCGTAATTCTAATACGTCGACAAAAGGATGGGAAAGTTTCGAAGAAGATGATCCTCTCGTTAAATCTTGGACTACATGTTTTCCATAAGACTCTTGTGGTACCCTTAATAATATCAAATCGTATTTGTCACTTGAAAATCGTCTGTATATGTGTACGCAAGTGAATATACATGTTTATGTGTGTACAAAATCATTGGATTAAATTTATTTGACAAATAACAATACCTTCATACCAGCGAACGATATTTGTACGTAAGGATTGATACCTCCTGTGTCACCAAAACCACAAATACTCGTCATATCCGGTAAACCATCTGCACGATAGACAGTAAAAATGTATCTGGCTCGTTGACCGAATGGTAATGCTTCACCACCGATAGGAAGTAATAAATTTCTGAAATTATTCAAAGGATTAATACGATTTTGATACAATTTATTTATAAAATAGAACGAAGAGAGAGAACAACAAAAAAATAAATAAAACGATGGAACATAAATCCTATAAAAATTGGCGAATTTTATACTTTTTCTTTTTGATATTGTTCGAATATTTAACCCTTATTGGTCGTCAGGTTTTTATATTGAAAATTATCACTAAGGTAAGTAATAAGTGATTTAGTTTTATATGCAACAAAATTGTGTTCAGGTATTATAAGAATAACTTAATATTTGTTTAGTTAGAATATATATATTATAATTATAATTATATCTTTTTATAGGGGTACTATAAAGATATAAAATTAATAATTATTTTATTAATAATAACACACATTTATTATTATTTACGACCGATAAGTGTTAATAATAAAATTTGAGCATACAATTTATGGGATGAATTTTCGTGTGACACCATCATTTTTCTTTTCTTTTTTTCTTGAAGATATATAATACGTCTACTTTTTTTTAGGTTTATCATCATTGAGATATAATTTATCCTAACCCCTCGATATCATCTTCACCCTCGGTTTCTGGATAAACCCGAACTTTTGCACCTTTAGCTCTAACAGCCACGTTACACTTAACGTATCCCTTTGGTTCGGTCGATAAGCTTTTTGGATCTGTGAGCATCGCCCATTTGTGATGATACTGATGATCTATTAAAATATATAGATTCTAATATTACCATCGAATATTTAACACTTAATCCTATTCGTTATTTATTATCATCGATTTTATTCGATCAATAAATTTGGATTAAACTTGAAGTTAGGTTAAGCTTTGTAAGATATCTTCTTAGGTTATCGTCGAACCATTAAGATTGTCTTACTTAAGAAATTGATAAAGAGAATATAAACTATATGAAATGTATTAATTAAATGTAATAAATCTTTACCTGGTTGCTCCCACACAGCTTCAACTTCGAAGATACTACTTCCATAGAACTTCAATTGCCGTAAATAGTTTCTCAAGTAAACAGCTATTGTTATCCTTGTTGAAAGTAACGTTTCAAAGTTTCCCGTAAAATCAAAAACGAAATACTACAACAAATAATTCTTAATATCAATAAACTAAAAAGATGTACACAATTTATTTTTACAACAAGACCATTTCTTAATTACAAACTTTTACCTCGTTATAAAACGGACAATCGGTTCCTTCTCGTACAACAGTTTTTCTCTTTTGATTACCCAATTTAACAACTACCATTGGATTAGCCAATTGCTGCAAGTGTCTAGCTTCTATGATCATAACGCATATTTGATAATTCGAATACTTTGATTTCATGATGATATTACAATGATTACATCAATCATAAACGTGTGTACGTTTAAATCATCGTTCAATTACTACCATATAGGGTGTCTTTTATTAACCTTTTTTTTTCTTTTGTTTAATAATGTAATTTGTGATGTTTCATTATATAGGAATAGTCTTGAAAAATGAATTATAAAAAATATGATTAAAAATGAATATAATAATAATTAAAGTTTCATTATTATTGGGGAAATATGGTTGATGGTACGTTGAACAAGAGTAGCTTTTTATATGATTAAAAATAAGATGATTAATTTTGATAGAGCCTGTATTACGTGAAGCACTCCAATTTCCTCGATCGTCAGGATAGAAATAGTAGTATATGACTCGAACTATTCTCTAATGTCGTAGGTGTGCGCGAAAGTGGTTCTTACATCGATCGACCTACAAATGACCATCGCGATTTAACGTACAACGCTCGTTTTTTTTTTTCTTTTTTTTTTATCTCCTGTAATATCAAAGATAAAGAGAGAAAGAGAGAGAGAGAGAGAGAGAAAGTGAAAGAAGAAAAGAAAAGAAAAAAAAACGATAATAGATATTCAATTTAATGGATAAAAGTGTAAAAGAGTAACATACAAAGCTCGTTAAAATTGCGAAACGTTTGAATTCTCGCATCTTAGGGATATAATTCGACGAGAAATTAGTGTCAATTCGTGTCACGAGGCTAAGTAACTTGAAGAAAGTATTTAACAAGGGCCGAAAAGTTAAATCGCTTTCTTTAAGAAAGTAATAGACTGTTTTAAACTCGAGTATCTTGTTCAAGTTTTTCAATGGGACACTAAATGCTAACATTTTAAATGAACTTCATCATCGATTTAATTAACAATAACTCGATCGTCAAATAAGTTTCCTTTTTTTTATTGTACAATATAAATGATATATTTAAGATAAATCCAGTTAGATGATGAAAGACCCCCTGTTTAATTGTACAGGAATCGTTTTGTTTATTTTTTCTTGTCCAAGAATATGGAAACATTCGTTGATTTTAATTTTGATTCGTTTCAATGAAATTGTCATTATCAAATTCATTACTCATTCATTAAATTATTCAATTTAATAATTCAATGCTTTGTCTTAAACTCAAGCAATCGTTCTAAAAAACATTTTAATAAGTTACTCGAGGGAGTGGGATATCAAATTTTGTAAACACACACAAATATACAAAGTCAGAGAACAGCTTTTTAATGCACTATTGCATCCGCCAACCGATTACCTGCAAAGAGTTACATTCGTAACACGTAAATCCCATTCACGCGGTTCATGAATGCAAATTACAAAGTTGAAAGTTGAACGAACATTTTGAAAATACGATTACCGTTTCAAAGCAAATTAATTTAATGTCATTATTTAATATCATTTGATGAGGAGGAATAATATTGTTAAATTCGATTTAAATTAATAAAATTATCCACGTGATAATTTTACATTGAATTAACCTTGCAGAAAACAGATTTTGCAAATATAATATCGTATAAATTGATAGTTAATTTCTCAATTTGATATATTATCCAAAATTTTAACTTAAAATACATAATACCCTTTGAAACTCTTCCCAATTTATGGTAAAACAAATAAAAATTTATGTTTGATGTATCAAAAGGTGTCCATTCGTTATTCTTATCTTCAGAAGGTAATATTTTAACTTAAAAAACTTTGTTTTGATAATTCAATAGATAATCAAAAATGTTTGTATCAGCGAACGATAAGAAAATTACAAAAAAATATTATTCAAAGTAAATTTCGTATATCAGAAATAATTCTGTAATATAAACTTCTGTCTTATTATCACTTGGTAAACTCATATAATTAATATTTATTAAATTAATATGTTAATGGAAAAAATTGTATTAGAGTTATAAATTAAAGATCTGCTGATACCGATTGAGTTCATCTGCTGCTCTAAAATAACAAATAAGACCTTAAAACAGAACTGCCTTACCAACCAAGCAAAAATAGCGGAACCCTTTTTGACCGATTGAGAAGAAATAATATCAGAACTTTTAGCTACCTTAGACTATTTTAGCTACTGAAGATAATAGCAGTACTTTGTCTTGCCATTAGACGAAAATAACAGAAAACCTTTTTACCAAATGATGATAAATTGAAGGTTTAAAAAACGGCACAAAACTCAGAATAATATTTAACATACCATGATATGCGAAAAACGATGATACAAAACAAAAATTAGGTGTTTTATCAGTAAAATAAACAATATAAATGAATCCTGAAAATTGTTGAAAAAGTACCATTCAAAAAAATGCACAAAAAACTAGAAAAAATACAAATACTGCACAACTTCACAGTATTCCCTTTGATGCATTGGCATGAAGTGAGGAATGAATTTATGAACAAAGTAGAAAATGTATTACCGAATAAATTTCTAAATGAATTGATGAGAATTACGTAAAAATTTTACAAACAATGAGATTAGTTTATAAATGAAAGAAGTTTACAAGAGATATACATGCAAATGGTTGAAATTTTTAGTTAGAAATGACAACTACAAACATCTTTAGACTGTGTGAAGTTAGGGACAACAGAACAAAGTCCTAATAAGAAAACGAAAAAGATTAATAAAATCTATCAAAAAGCGTTTTATTTTTCATGATAAAAAGAAAAAAAGAGAAAAAAACAAAGACAAATTTAACCCATTACCTGTCACAATACAAAAATGCAAGGAAAAAAGAAATTAAATTAACTGTATAATGATATTCCTACTAACCAAATAGAATTTTTGAAACAATTGATTTTTGTTTCTTTTTATATTTAAATATAAATAAAAATTATTTTATATCATTAATTATTGATTGAAAATAAAATAGAGAGAGAATTTTAAATATTTTTCATGAATCACACGAGATACGATCTCATAATTTTAACGAATATATTTCAATCTTAAATTACAGTTATAAAAAAAGAAGAAAAAAATATTGGAAAATGCGTCCCATAAAAAGGCCATTGGCGGGTAATGGGTTAATCAATTTTTTTACTATAATAATATATCCGTTATTTATTATTATTATTATTATTATTATTATTATTATTATTATTATTATTATTATTATTATTATTATTATTATTATTATTATNTTATTATTATTATTATTATTATTATTATTATTATTATTATTATTATTATTATTATCGTCGGTTGAATTCGAAATCGTATCTACATCATGCGATACGGTTAGATCGGACAGAAATGATCTCGGAGTCGGAAGAGTTCGTTACGAATTTCTTCTCGTTTGACGCGCGTTGTCTCTTGTGGAATTTGAAATTGATCGAGCATCGATCGCAGAGAAACAGAGAACAAGAGAGAATGAGAAAGAGAGAGATATATATATATATAAAGAAAGAAAGAGACTTTGCTTCCTGGACAAGGCTCCCCACTTTACGCGGGGCCGACAAGTCAGCTACGAAAAAGATAATGGGTTCGACCTGCCCGTAAAGGAAGAAGGTAGTGAAGCTGTCATGGAAAAGGGACGACACAACAGGTAAGTCCTTCCTCTCGCGTCAATGCGTTATCGTCGTCCCTTTGATCACGCCGATAAACCTTAAGAAAAGATTTTCATCCTTCTATTTTGAATCCTGATCGAGTAGACACTAAAAATCATCAACTTTAACACACATTATTGGTTGATATTCTTGTTTTGTTAAATACAAACAATTTATAATTTATAATTATTTAAATAATATATGTAGTATACGATTTTATTATAATTTTTTGTTCATCATGACGATTACTTCAATTTTTGATATAACCAATTTTATGTAATTATTTTTATTCAATATTATAATAGAACTATGATGATATGATTGGTTTATTATTGGTTTATTATTATGATACTTGATTGTTCTTTCTTTTTTATTTTAAGTATCGTATTGGCAGATATAATTCTTTTTTTTTTTGTTAATAGTATAAATACTTTTAATATCAAATTATTTGTATTTTTGTCATTAATTCATTTTTCATCTATTTAGATAAATTTTTCTATTTGTATTTTTTTATTATGGATTTGATTGCAAAAATAATTTCTGTGTATATCAAATGATCACAAAGATCATCTCTTTAAAATAATCTCATTAATACTTTTATTAAAAAAATGAAAGAACAATTTAATTCGAAGGGATGATTAAAGAATTTATCTTGTGTTTCTTTTATGGTCCATTAACGTTTTCTTTTTCTAGCTCGTGCGACTTTCACGACTAACTGATGAGATATATTTTTGAATATTTAGGTATATCCAAATGTATATATATGTGTGTGTGTATATGAGTTCGGTGAATGGCCTATTCATCGTCGCCAGTGTCCAGCAACTTTGAAATATCTTTTACGAAAGAGATGAGAACGCGTGAGAGAGAAAAAATAGAGATAGAGATAGAACAAGTAAGAGAGAGAAGAGAGAGAGAGAGAGAGAGTGTGAGAGTTGAGATGATGGGATTGGGGTGTTGAGGGGTAAGAGAAGGGACTACAAAAGACAGGAACACGGTAAAAGAGAGACATCTTTTTCTTTTAGGCCACTTTAAATGTCTTTATGAGTTTTGGCTGTTAACACGACCATAGTAGAAGCAGGTACGGCCTTTCTTTGGGATAACTGCTTTTCTCGTATCTGTGGGATCTATCAGGTTGCTAGAGTTAGGCTGCATTCAAGAGGACTCATGGTCAGATAAAACCATCTTTGTAGAGGGGTTTAGAAGTGCGTACCAAATTCTACAACAACCCTATTTTCTCTCTCTGTTTTTCTTTCTTTCAAGATTTCTATCCATTCTACCGCTCGATTACCTACAATCCCTTAGAGAAAATACCTTTAAAAAAGGACATTAATAGCATACCTTGTAACCTCTTTTCTTTTCTTTTATTTTCTTTTCGAATTTATATTTTATTTGGTGCGATCATTCTTACAGATTATTTTTCTATCTTGTATACACAGATATATGTTTTATTTTTCTTTGTTACAAAAATTATTTCC